TCTGTTCATTTTATTATTATTATCATTATTATTATTATTATTATTATTATTATTATTATTATTATTATTATATTCAGTTGTGTGAGTATGTAGAGAGATACTTCACAGGGTAGGGAAATGACCCTCGCGGCTGCACATTGTATTTTCGTAAAGCATGTTACCTGCGTTCAGTTTGGCTTTGACTATACATATTATTACTACAGCGACACACTTTGGTTCACTGCACTTGCATGACCTATGTGTACTGCACGCACCGTTCAGCTGTAGCTAGAGCTAAACTAAGCCTTTGATCCACACAGGAATGGGTGCCAAGTAAATGAATATTGTTATAACTCTTTTGTGTCCTTTTGCCCTTTTCCGAGAAGGCTAAGTGTAGATCTTTCCTACTGGAAGATCAGGGGTGTGGCTGAAAGACAGCAGTAAGAAGGAGCCAAGGAGTAGCAGTAGAAAGGCTGCATAGTCAGAGCCCATAGGAGGGTGCAAAGGGGGTGGGAGCAGAAAGCGAAGATGAAAGCAGACGACAGAGCATTGCTAGATAACCGGAAAGGATGGGAAAGGAGACAATTTTAGAGAAGAAAATTTTTCCGGGATTCGAACCCGGGACCTTTGAATGAGAAGCGAACACCTTACCCTCTAGACAACGACGGCCCCCAGATAGAACTTTGTAATTCTGAGGAAGCGAGTCATATTCAGTGAGCCTGTCACGCCTCGCCTCCGACGAAGTGAGAGATAGAGATCTTTAAGGCCGTGACAATTTATCTACCAGCAATGTTCTGTCGTCTGCTTTCGTCTCCACTTTCTGCCCCCACCCCCTCACCTCCTTTGCTCCCTCCTCTGGGCTCCTGGCTCGTAAATTGTGTCTATGGGGACGTAAAAATACCTACATTAGAAAAATATACAAACAGCTCTTCAAACGTCAATAGCCAGATACATTACTATTGTGTGTATTTGTTTAACTTTTTTTTTCCAGGATACTTTAACAACTATGCTGGTCTGCGGTGCGGATGGACCTGATTCGATTCTACAACATGGCATTCTGAACTTGGGCTTTTAGGGGGAGTTATTAAGCCCCCACCCCCTTCCTTTTAAAGAGATAAACTGTAATGTGAAGGTCCTGCCTCCTAAATAACCTTACTTAGAGGGTCTTTTAATGGGCGTTAAACAAAATAATAGAAAAACAAAGTCGCGTTTGTTTATCTGTTTGTTTGTTTGTTTGTTTGCACTGTTACAATTCAAGGGTGCCGTGCTCCACACTGTGTCAAACGAAAGTTCCTGCTTCGAAAACACAACTCACTAATTATTTGTTTACATCACCTTAATAAGCGTGACCTTGTTCATTTCCATAGACTTGCATGCAGTCTCAGACCGCGTACCGTTATGGCTGCCATTCCTTTTTTTTCCTTCCTTTTTTTTCTTTTGTCTGTTTGTCTTTGTTTTTGCTTTTGTTGATTTTGCCTGTTTGTTTGTTTGCTTTTTGTTTGTTTATTTGTTTGATTTTGTCTGCTTGCTTTTTGTTTGTTTATTTGTTTGTTTGTTTGTTTGTTTTTATTTGATTTTGCTTTCGTGGGGGGGGGGGGAGGATGTTTCGTTTTCAGTTTTTTTCTGAAAAATCTTTACTTTGGAGCATGCTCACCGTGGGCCATGCCATTAAGCTCAAATAAAAGGAAAAACAGAAGTCTCGTCTTCCCCCCTCGCACGACCCTTATTTAGCTCAAGCTGAGTCAAATCAAGGCGCTCCCCATAGTGAACCAGAAATACGTCCGAGTACACTAGGACTAGGATA